TTTAGCAGAATAGCCTAGTATACACTTATACTTGTTCCAGTTTTTTATCCCGGTCCCTGTACTTCACAAAGTTTCGTTCAAACATTTGTATTTGATCAAAATGAATATTTTAAACCCCTCCCATTATGCGTGAGTCTCACTTGCCGTGACATGGATAACACATCAGATCCATGTCAGATACATAATCCACATCAGTATCTTCTTCTTTACTAATACCAGAATTTCTTTCTCCTTCACGCCATTTTTCACCTTCCCTCTCGATTTTCAGAGAACCTCAAAAATTCATCGGCTTCAACTTCTTCTATCTTTGTCTCACCATAACTGTTGCACCTAAAACTATTATGATTCATTTTTTTTGGGTTATGAAATGATTGCAGAAACTATAATAATGCATAATAAGTAAATGAAGACAAGTGGTTGACCAATGAACATGGGCGTGCCATTGATCAAATAATAATAGTCATCATTATGGTAATTGTAAAAATGAGAACAATAAGGGTTCTCGAAGTAATCCTTCAATAGGTGAAGGAAATATTTACCATCAATTGGTATGAAAAATTTATATAAAGCACGTCGCGGTAATTATACTCCTTTCTTTGAAGAGAATGTGACTTGTGCATTGAGAATGCAAATTTATTCCTAAAGGTGAATGTAACAATATGTGATAAAAGTAATGAATAAAGACGTGCAATGCATGATTGGATACACACCACAACTCACCTCTAAGGGAGGTTTGAGAGAAAGAGAGATAATGAATATTAGTGTGTGATTACATGAATATGTCATTGGTCGCGTACATGTGGACGCCAAAAATAATTTGACATGCCTTTATAAAAGTTATTAAAGGCAAAAGTAAAGCAAGAAATGATTTTGCTTATGATGATTTTGACCATGACAATTATTATGATATGATTTTCTCCGTGAAGGAGACATTCACCATATGGATGGTGTGAAAAAGATATTGTAGTACAAAATCAATTAAGAGCTCCGGAAGAGCTAATTTGTTACTACCCGGATGAATAAAATTGTTCATGACATTGATATTGTAGTAAGTCTCAAACGAAATTTTTGAGTTTCAAATATATTAGCCAAAGTGGTTGGCATATTGAGACTATAAATGAAAGGAAGATTGAATATCTTCATATTACTATAATCATATCGGGTAAATATAAAAGGTTACCCGATTTTCTTTTATTTGTTACTACACAAGTATAAGCATGATGATGGAATCACATGCCACAAGTAAACTAGAGGTTTTACTGAAACAAAATTTAGTTGGCATGAACGGGTTAGCCATCCCGGTTCAATTATGATGCAAAAAAAAATTAATTGAGAATTCACATTGGCATATATTGAAGAAATAGAAGATTCTTCAAGAATTCTCTTGTGCTGCTTATTCTCATGATATACCAGTTAAGGTTGGGATTGAATCCCTTGATATCTGGAACGAATAAAAGGTGATATATATGTATGGGCCCAATCACCTGCCATATGGACCGTTTACTATTATATGATTTTAATAGGTGCATCTATTGTATGGTCATATGTGCATTTGTTGTCAACTTGCAGTTTGGATTTTGCAAGATTGATTGCTCAAATTATTAGAGCAGAGTCCAGAATATAAATTTATCTTGATATTGCTGGTTTAAATCCAAGTTGGTTTAGCAGAGATTGTATGCCTCAAATTATAGCTAAACCATTGGTTATGAGAACAAAATTACCAAAAGAAAATTTGGTATGAGATGTATTATTTAATATAGAGTAGCACTTATACGCATCTAGCCAACAAGTTATGATACACTCTCCCCATCACAATTGGTTCAGGGTCAGGAACCAAATATTTCCATCTACAAATATGGATGTACTATATGATTTAATTGTGCCACCATAATGCACAAAGATTGGTCCCCAAAGAAGGTTGGGGATATGTGTTGGTGATCCCAACATTAGGGGGAGAAAATGAGCAGCTGAATAAAGTAATACATGGAATGAATTATCATGAGTATACTTAGATCCTCGTACAAGAAAATATGAACTTGAAGTTCAAGTGATAATTCATTTGCAAAATATTTTAAGGCACATTGATGACCCAAAGCTAAATGTCATATTCTAGCTGCTAATACTCCAAATAGAATAACGTCCATGATGGATAAAGTTTATTGCACGCATGAAGCGTAATAGACAAATCGGTTCCAAAGATAAAACTCCTTGAAGAAGGAGGGAGCAAATGTTCAAGATGGTCATAATAAGGAGGCAAGTGCTTTATAAGAGCACCATGACATAACACTTTATAAGACCTCATGGGAGAGGCTCAGGTACCTGAAAATAATGAGATCTCGATAAGTTATGTCTTTATTGTGCGGTGATGGAACCGATGTAAAATGATCATCAACGATGTTGTTAATATAATGTAGCGCTCGATATTATTAATATTGACAAGGATCTTGAGCTCAAATCTGTCATGAAATTTGGACAAATAAATGATTGGCCAAATGAAAAATATGCAATGAAAATTGACTTCATCTGAAAAATATGAAGTTGGGCGGATAGTTCCAACAGCTGAAAGTATAAAGGCTATATGGAGATATCGAAATACGATTAGTGTTATATTGCAAAAGGAATCCTTGATATAGATTTGTTTATTCTAACAAATATTGTCAAGGTTTTATTGGTTACACAAATGCAGGGCATAGTTCGTTGTTCAAACAATCTATTTCCATGTGAGGACGTGTGACTTTTCTTTGGAGAGACGATTCAAATAATATTGAAGACGATGATGCTTGCATAGCTCAACTAAAAGAACGATATATTGAAGAAGACAAAATAAAGCACATTTAGCCAAAGTTTCTTTGCAGAGACGATCTTCAATAGAATGATGAAATAGATGTTCAACAAATTTGTTCAAGTGATAATTTGACAAACTTCTTCACAAGACATTGCGGATCTCAATATTAGAGAAGTTGTTATACAAGCTTGGAATTCGTCGTCTTCGAAGAATAAAGTGATGTTCTCATCAGGGGGAGACAAATACGCACTGTACTCTTTTTCCCTTAGCTAAGATTTTATCCCACTGGGTTTTTCTGGCAAGGTTTTTAATGAGGCAGCAAATAATGCGTATTACAAGATATGTGTACTCTTTTTCCTTCACTAAGATTTTTTCCCATAGGGTTTTTTCTTAGTAAGGTTTTAACGAGGCACATTATCTATGGACATCCAAGGGGGAGTGTTATGAAATACATATTTATATGGATGTCCACTAATCAAATATAACTCCCACTACTCTTCTCCATTATGTAGATAATTCCCACTACTTCTCACCATTATTGTTGTAACTCCCTCACCTTCATAACCTACCCATGATCTTCCTCCATGATCTCAAATGCTTAATGGCATACTTATGGAATTCTTTTGGTATACCTCTATGTTGTACTATAAATAGAGGATGAGAACTCATTTTGTAATACACTTGAATACATGGAAGAAATAGATTCTCTTCTCTCTTTCTCTCTACATTGTTGTCAATCTTTTTGTTTTATATTATTACTTTGAGCTAAGTTTTGTAACATAAAACAAATACTAATTAATAAGCCATAATAAAAATGAACATAATCTAAAAGTACTATATAAGTCATGCTAAAATAAGTACTATTAATTACATGACTAAGCACTAATAAAAAAGATAAACTAAGTTATGCATTTTTATTATAAATCAATGCAAAACTAAAAATAGATATCCAACACTATTGTCATTTATTGTGTTGAATTGAATTTACTTTGTTATCATTAGTATTTATTTGAACTTTATTTGAGTTACTACATTTATGAGCTATAAAACTTATTGGACCATTCAAGAATGTTAAGTCCAAGCTTTAACCACCAAAGGATGTGGTGACGTGGATAGGGTTGCTCCTCTCTTAACCAGAGGTCTCGAGTTCGAGCCATGGGTTTGGAAAAATCCTTGGTATGCTAGCCCCCGAATGGAGCCTTACCCTGCGTGAATCTGGATATAGTCGAGCTCCAATGTGGGTACCGGACACCGGGTGGGAAGCCAAAAAAAAAAGTTCAAGCTTTAAATAATACATTAAAAGATAAAACTATGAAAAAAATGTGTGTGTGTGTGTATAAAATATTTTTAAAAAAATGTAAAAATGTAATGTCGGATTTTTCCCAGTTTAACTCGGATTATCGGTTTGGTGCGATTTATCGATTTTCTTTGTACAATATAAAAATATAAACTAATTTTCTACTTAATCATATTGCCATCTCAATGTGCAACCTTTGAAAACTTGGTACCTGCAGGAAGACTTGTTTCTATTATTGGAAAACTAATTTTCAGTCAAGAGAGTCGAGGGTCTATCGAAAACAACCTCTCTACTCCTTCGGAGTGGGATAAGGTCTACGTACACATTATGTGAGATTCTACTGGGTTGTTATTGTTGTCGTATTTTTCAGCCAAGAGACATGATAAAAATCTGGCTCCCCTTTTGAGGAGAATTGAAAATATTACTCCTCCACCGAAAAGAACATACCCCACTTATTCAAATATTTGTCTGTCACACTTAAGAGGGACTCATTTTCCACATTCATCAGTAAACTCAAATCACTCCCTCCTATTATCAAACACCTCTCTCTCTCTTTTCCAGTATCAATGTCATTTCCTACAAATTTTTCCAGTTTTTCTCTTATTTCTTCTAAGTCATACACTTCAAGCTGTTCCAAGTATCATTCCACTAAATAGTTCTTGTACTGATAAATGTGGCAGCATTGTCCTAAAATATCCCTTTGGTTCAGGATTTGGTTGTGGACATCCTACATTTTCAAGATTCATAAAATGCACTTCTGGTGTACTTCAGTTTTCAACTGGCACTGGCATTTACACTATATCCACACTAGACTACACAACCAACACACTTATTTTAACTGACCCCTTTATGTCAACATGTTCATCAATGCAAAACTCAGGTAGTTTTACGTTGGATCGTTCGACTCCCTTCAGCATTATGAAAGAAAACATCTTTGTTTTACTAGGATGTTCTACAACATCAGCTGTATTTGATCCAAAACAAGATTTGTGTAATACCGGCTCGGGTTCAAATGTATGCAGAGGACTATATTCTTGTAAAGGAGTAACAGGAATTGGTTTAGAACCAAATGCTCCTATATCTACATGTTGTGTATATGATCCACCAGTTCCTATTGGTTCAGGTTATGGTTTGAACTTGCCTAGACTTCAGTGTTCTTCTTATTCGTCGATATATGGTTTTGGTGGTGATGAAGGAGATCCAATGAAATGGCAATATGGGATTTCTTTGCAGTATAATGATTCATATTATACTGATGATTCTTGTAAGAACTGTGAGGATAGTGGTGGAATTTGTGGCTTTTCTGGTTCAGATGAGTCTTTTGCTTGCATTTGTAGGAATGGTGTTAACACTACCATTAATTGCTTTGGAAGAGGTTTGTTGATATTTAATGTTGTTTCTTTGGAAGATGGACTTGTTTCTTCATATTCTTATATCAAGATTACTGTATTCCCTGATGTTATTATTTAGTACTACTTATTCTCGCTCCCTCCCCCACCCCCCATCCCACTCCACTCCTTTTTTTCTCTCTCTTCATTTTCTTTCTTTTCTCCTCATTCTTCTTCTTCCTCTTCTTCTCACTCGTTTTGAGCCGAGGATCTATTGGAAACAGCTTCTGTACCACTACTAGAATTCCTGTAAAAAGCGACCAAAGATTAGCGACCAAATTTGGTCTGTCAAAAAAAGCGACCAAAGTTGGTCGCCAAACTGCCGAAAATAATAAAAAAAATATTTGAAATACTTTAGCGACCAAAGTTGGTCGCTATTTGGCCATAAATTTAGTCAAACTGTTGACTGGACTGGTCAGACTTGCTTGGTCAAAGATATACTGAGATTAGCGACCAATGTTGGTCGCTAAAGTGGGACCCACATAAATTTTTTTAATAATTTTATTATTATTTTATAAAACTTATAAAATATAAATATATATAATTTAAAACTTGCGACCAAAGTTGGTCGCTAACTGAAGGATAAGTTGATAGCGACCAACATTGGTCGCTAAAGTGGGACCCAGTTATTATATTTTAATAAATATATATTTATTTAAAATAAATTATAAAATATAAATAAATATAATTCAAAAGTTAGCGACCAAAGTTGGTCGCTTAATGAAATAGAGACCAATGTTGGTCGCCAAGGTGGGACCCAGTTCTAACATTTAATGATTTTTATTATTAATTTAAATATTNGTGGTGTAGCTGCCAAAACAGGCAGTTTCTGCCAAAATAATACACAGAAAAGCGACCAACTTTGGTCTCTATTTGGTCGCTTTTCACGTTCAAAAAAAATAAATTTCTGGAGAATAGCGACCAATGTTGGTCGCTACTTACCCAGATTTCTACAAAAAGTGACCAAACTTGGTCGCTATTTCGTTAAAAAAATAAAATTTCTGGTGATATAGCGACCAAAGTTGGTCGCTAAAGTATAAAAAATAAATTAAATTCATGTATTTAGGGACCAAAGTTGGTCGCTAGTTTAATAAAATAAATAAATTATTGAATAAAAAAGCGACCAACCCTGGTCTCTAGTTTCCAGATTTTAAAATATAATATTTGGATTAGAGACCAAAGTTGGTCGCTTCTTAATGATTAATAATAAATAAATAAAAAAAGTATTTTATATTTAGAGACCAACTTTGGTCGCCAAATTATATTATTAAATTAATAAAGCGACCAAAGTTGGTCTCTATAGTCAATATCCGGAATATTTGGTCCATTTAGCTTAGAGACCAAAGTTGGTCGCTAATTAGCGACCAACTTTGGTCCCTAAATAAAAGAGACCATCAATATGGTGAAAGAATTCCTGTGCATATTATTTATGTGCTCCTTGTGTGTTTATATTTTCTAACACTTGTTCCAGAGGTATTCAGAGTAGCGGGTCGATGATCTTACTGGGTTATATTTACGTATAACTCACTCCTTACCTGCATGTCCATGCAGATACTATTGGTGAAGATGGAGCTAGTAGCCGACGAGTTCGCTAGAGTTGATTCAGTTATTGAGGTGAGCCGCCACATTGTTCATAGAGGCTACCCAAAGAGTCTTTATCATTTATTCATATGAGGTCTTTTGTAATTCTCTTAGGTGTTTCATGGTCTAGTGTGGGATTTGGGCTAGAGTGTTAATCTTATATATTGAGATATTAATTGTTCGTAATAGTTATCAGATTATTTGGATATTCATTTAATTAATCAAATGCTATAAATTAATGGCTAAGGTAAGAAAGTATGGTTCGCCCTGCAGGTGGTGTTAGCTGGGTGCCAGTCACGTCTAGGGGGTAGTTTGGGACGTGACACCCTGGGTCTGGAATGTCTGTCGTGCGTGTTCTCACCATCTGTGAAAAAATAAGAGAAAGAACTTAGTATACCATCAACTACACGATAGGAGATGAATAAAGAGTAGTTTCCTAACACCCTATAGCCTCTCGAAGATAAATAAGACGTCTCCGCACCAATCCGCAAGACTCTATTAGGCCTGCCCATAACATGTGAGACCTACGTGAACCTAGTGCTCTGATACCATGTTGTCACGACCCAATTCTATTATGGGCCGTGATGGCGCCCAGCGTCGCCGCTAGGTAAGCCGACAGTGAACTAACCACATGATTTCTTTTGTTAATAGATTTTCAAGTAACTAAACTTCCCCTAATTTAAAAGTTTTAAGAAATGATAGATTTTAAATAATAAGACGAAAGCAACTGAGTGCAATCATAATCATAGTAATACAACTCAAAATCATAAGTCTACTAGTATTTTCAAGGACCCGGTGTCACAAGTGTATAAGCATTCTAGTAGAATATACAAAAGAATACTAGTCTACTGTCTGAAGTGAAATATATAGAAAAATATAACAAAAGAAAGACTCCAGCTGCTGCACAGCTGCAGAACGGCTCGGAAGGCAGCTCATCGTGAAGTCTCGAAGTTGAAGTCAAGTGTGCGCGCCGGACTGATATCTAGATGCACCTGCCTCAGATCCTGCTCATTTAAGTGCAGAAGTGTAGCGTGAGTATATAAACAACATGTACCCAGTAAGTATCTAGTCTAACCTCGAAGAAGTAGTGACGACGGGTCGACTTCGACACTTAATATGGGCCAACAATGTAATAATGTGAAATTCTAATTAAACATGATAGATATAAATGACAATAGAAGTCAGAGTACGAAATAAATAAACAATCCTTTCACCGATAGTAAGAACCGAATCATTTCCCTCATTTAAACATGTAATTTCTCAAGCAAATAATAAATATCAAATACAAAGGGACTTCCAAATATTAGTATCACGCACGAATTATGCCGAGGACGTACGGCCCGATCCAAATATACATATACATAACTGTATGCACTGTCGAGAGTCGAACGACACGAACCATAGATGCATTTATTAATCTGCCGAGGCGACCGACCCGCTCTCAAGAAAGTAGTGGAAAAGTTACCCCTCTCGCGGAAAATACTTGTGACGCGGTTGAATGTGAATTTCTCAAGTTACCATAATATCCCTCATTTCTTTCCAAAATAAAGAAATTCAACTTGAAGCTTTTGAAATCTTAAGATCCTCAACTTAGTCCCATTCAATACAATTAACACATATAATCAAATAACGGTGTCCACAAAGCATGGTGTAAATCTAAAACTACCCGTACATAAGCATGAATAGTAGCTACGTACGGACTCTCATCCCCTCGTGTGTACGTATCCTCCACAAATAGTAGCACATATTAATTTAGTTCACTTATGGGGTTAATTCCCTCTTACAATGTTAGAAAAGAGACTTACCTCGTCTCAAGGCCTACTTTCCGATCCCAAGTTGTGCTCAAACCCTAAATTCGGTGCCAAACAATCCAAAACTAATCAAATGGTATATAAATTAATCAATATATGTTCAAAAGTTCATATTCCAACTATTGTAGGGATTACCCAACCCTAAATGTAAGATTCCTAAAATTCATCCCTGGGCCCACGTGCCCGGATTCCGGAAATATTTGAAGAAAGTTGTTACCCGTAACCTCATGAACTCAAATATATGATTTTTGCTAAATTCCATAACCAATTTCGTGGTTAAATCTCATTTTTATCAAAAACCTAGGTTTTCACCTAAACCCATGATTTTCACTAATTTACATGTTATAATCCACCCATAAACTATTTATTTAACTCACATTGTGTAGAAATTACTTACCTCGAAGTGCTAAATGAAATCCCCTCTCTAAGAGCTCCAAGAATCGCCCAACAATGGAAGAAAATGAGCCCAAATAGCCTAAGTCCCGTTTTTTAAAGATGATTCTGGCCAGGGGTCCTTATATGCGATCGCGACCAAGCTCTCGCGATCGCGATGGCTAAACTTGAGGAGCCTAGAAAAAGGCTCTACGCCATCGCGAGATGACCTACGCAAACGCGAAGCACTGGGTCGCCTACTCCTCGCGAACACGAGGCCCAACACGCGAATGCGTAAGGCAACTAGGCTGCCCAGGCCCAGGCTTCTACGCGAATGCGACGTGCCCAACGCGAACGCGAAGGCCAAAGGGGTCCAGGCCTCCGCGAACGCGACCCTGCTTACGCGAACGCGAAGGGAAAAAAACTTCGTCCCCAAATCCTTCATCGCGAATGCGAGGGTCTGTTCGCGTACGCGAAGAAGGAAACAAGAAGCAGAAATCTGCTGTGTTTCAACTCAACTCCGGGCGGTCCGAAACGCACCCGAGCCCTAGGGACCCCATCCAACTGCTCCAACAAGTCTATAAACATAATACGAACTTGATCGAACTCTCGAAACGCATAAAACAACAACAAAACCAAGAATCACACCCCAAAATCAAATTGAATCAAAATATGAACTTCAAGTTTCCAAATCGCTCCGAACGCGTCGAATCATACTTAGACTACTCGGAATGATGCCAAATTTTGCGTGCAAGTCTTAAATGATATTACGGAACTATTACTGGTTCGGAATTCCATTTGGACCTCTATATCACCAAAACCTACTCCAAACCAAATTTAAAGAACTTAAAAACCTTCAAAGAACCAATTTTTCACTATTAGGCGCCAAAACGCTCCCGGTTCATCCAAAACCCGATCCGAATATACGCCCAAGTCAGAAATCATCATACGAACCTATTGGAACCGTCAAATCCTGATTCCGAGGTTGTTTGTTCAAAATATTGACCGAAGTCAAACTTGGCCCTTTTTGCCAACCTTAAGGAACCAAGTGTTCCGATTTCAACCCGAACCCTTCCAAATCCCGAACTAACCATCCCCGCAAGTCATAAAACAATTAAAGCACGAAAAATCTTATTTAAGGAAATAGGATTTTAGAAAGCAAAACGAACGGTCAAATCGTTACATTTGAAAACCCTAAAAATAAGGGTAAGAGTTTTAGAATAGAAGGACTACAATACATAATGAGTTAATAGAATACGTAAGGAAGATTTTCAGAAGATTTGAATTAAAAGCAAAGAAAGATTTTAAATATAAAATAGCTAAAAAAAAAGTCGATAGCTGAGCAATTGTGTGCTCCGCAAATTTGTTCAGTCTGGTTTTGTTGGTCTTGAACGAAGCAATTCAAGATCATGGAGCTATTAAGTATTTTGACAATTCTTTTGTAAAATGGTAGATGAATTACTTCTGACTTCTGAGTTATATTATTTCTGTAGTTCTTCGTCTGCTTGTGTGCCATAGTTTTTATTACATTAGAAGAACTCTTTTATTTTACAAGTATCATTATGAAACTTATTCATTCTTTTACCTCTTTTATTTAATTTGATTAATAAAATTCTTGGGGAAACTGAAAAGACTTATAAAATGTGTAAGCTTAGCAATTGATTATGTCTGTTCCTAAAACTTGTAGGAATTAAGTTGCCTATTACAAGTGGCTCTAACCAAGTGAGCGATTCCAGCGTTTGGCCACAAAAGCAAAAGTAAATCACTTTGTAATTCTGGTGAATAAATCTATGGAAAAGCTAACTTTTTATGCATACAAAACCAGGAATTGGTAGCTTCAATACTTTAATTTTTGGAAGCATTTAAGACTTGGATGAAGATAGTTCTTTTAGAGTTCACTTGTAGAAGCCTTCTTTCTATTTTGGTCACAAGATACACACAAATGTGGCAAAGACAATTTTCAATAGTTTACTTAACTTGTAGGTGAATATCACTTGTATTTTTCAAACAGAGGCTCTGTCATCATTAAAGCAATCTTTTGCTAAAATTCTTGTTACATTGAAACATTATGGAGATAATTGGAGTCTTTGTGCTGCAGATTACTTCTAAATGGACAAGTATATGCACTCCCCCTAGTTATTGGAATGTCAAGACTACAATTCTGTGTTGTGAGGATTCATCACAAAAAGGACTAGGTTTGGTTGTCAGCCTATCACAATCCATCTCCTTTATTCGGGTGGAGACCGACAATATGAGCAAGCTCATACAAGCATATCATGACACCAATAATCATATTGCCATTAGTGTAACTAATAAAGTTGTTGACATGTGAGCAGGAGGTCATGAGTTCGAGCAGTGGAAACATCCTCTTACAGAAATGCACGGTAAGACTGCGTACGATAGACCCTTATGGTCCGGCCCTTTCTCGGACCCCACGCATAACGGGAGCTTAGTGCACCGGGCTGTCCTTTTTAATCGTATTGCCATCTCAATGTGCAATCTTTGAAAGCTTGGTACCTTCCAGAAGCCTTGTTTCTATTATAGGAAAACTATTTTTTAGCCAAGAGACATGATAAAAATCTGGCTCTCCTTTTGAGTAGATTTGAAAATATGACTCCTCCACCAAAAAGAGAACATCCCACTTATTCAAATATTTGTCTGTCACACTTAAGAGGGACTCATTTTCCACATTCATCAGTAAACTAAAATCACTCCCTCCTGCTTTCAAACACCTCTCTCTTCTAGGCCTTTCATAATGTCATTTTGCACACAAATTTTTCCAGTTTTTCTCTTATTTCTTCTAAGTCATACACTTCAAGCTGTTCCAAGTATCATTCCACTAAATAGTTCTTGTACTGATAAATGTGGCAGCATTGTCCTAAAATATCCCTTTGGTTCAGGATTTGGTTGTGGACATCCTACATTTTCAAGATTCATAAAATGCACTTCTGGTGTACTTCAGTTTTCAACTGGCACTGGCATTTACACTATATCCACACTAGACTACACAACCAACACACTTATTTTAACTGACCCCTTTATGTCAACATGTTCATCAATGCAAAACTCAGGTAGTTTTACGTTGGATCGTTCGACTCCCTTCAGCATTATGAAAGAAAACATCTTTGTTTTACTAGGATGTTCTACAACATCAGCTGTATTTGATCCAAAACAAGATTTGTGTAATACCGGCTCGGGTTCAAATGTATGCAGAGGACTATATTCTTGTAAAGGAGTAACAGGAATTGGTTTAGAACCAAATGCTCCTATATCTACATGTTGTGTATATGATCCACCAGTTCCTATTGGTTCAGGTTATGGTTTAAACTTGCCTAGACTTCAGTGTTCTTCTTATTCGTCGATATATGGTTTTGGTGGTGATGAAGGAGATCCAATGAAATGGCAATATGGGATTTCTTTGCAGTATAATAATTCATATTATACTGATGATTCTTGTAAGAACTGTGAGGATAGTGGTGGAATTTGTGGCTTTTCTGGTTCAGATGAGTCTTTTGCTTGCATTTGTAGGAATGGTGTTAACACTACCATTAATTGCTTCGGACGAGGTTTGTTGAGAATTTTTACACTATCAATATTATTTAACCTGGTAGGGGTTGTTTGGTACAATAGTGGGATATTCCAAGGGCGGAGCTAGCCAATCTGAGTATGGATTTGGTCGAACCCGTCGCTTTGGTTCAATCCATGTAGTTGTCTTAAAAAATCCATTGAGCATGTATAAATTATTAATTTAGAACCCAATAACTTAAAAGGATTAGGACCCCGAACCCATAAGGTTCAAATCCTGGCTCCGCCTCTAGGATGTCTGATGGGATAACTAATCCTACTATTTTAGTGTAAAAATTATCCCGGGATTAGCTAATACCCCTAACCAAACATAGAAAAAGTTAATCCCAAACTTTATCCCGGGATTATTATTCTAATCCCATGTACCAAACGGCCCCTTAGGGATCGTTTGGTATAAGGGATAACTAATCCCTGCTTAAATTTGAGATGAGTTTGTCCCATGTTTGGTTGAGATAAAATCGGGGTATAACTAGTCCCCGGATTCGTTATACCGGGATTGTACTATTATTTCTATCCCTATGGGAGGTCGGGATAACAATCTCGGAATAACTAGTCCCGGGATAATTAATCCTTGGATAACTTGTTTTCCAACCAAACGATCCCTTATAAAGGGCTAACTGTCTGTCTTTTCAAATTACTAATTCTAATTACTGCGGATAGTTAGCTGGAATTACCTTTTAATATGATCCTGATAGTGTAAAAAGTTTTATATTGTCAGTGTATAGAAGTTAAACTCTTGTAATCTAAGACGACTAAAGTATATTGATGTGATCAGGATATGCTTGGAGTGGGACATGGAGATACAAAATTCAAACAGAAATTAGTATTGGAGGTAAAAGGCAATGCCTTTTTTCAGTTTCTTTTGTCTAACACTTTATACTTTTTGGACAAAAAGTCTTCTTTATTTGAAAACTTTTGCTACATTGTCGCCCTTTTACATTACTTTTTCTCTCCTAGAAATTAAAGCTTATCCTCACCCCCAAAAATGAGGAATTTTGGTAGGTGCTACTGAGTCAAAATTTTAAAGAAAAATAGCCGTGAAAACAGCCTCTTGCAGAAATGCAGGGTAAGGCTTCGTACGATAGGCCCTTGTGGTCCGGCCCTTCCCCCAATCCCGCGCATAGCGGGAACTTAATGCACCGGTCTGTCCTTATGGAAGAAATCAACACTCCCCAATACTCACATGTAGCATAATGTGTCTGCTACAAATTCCATGAACACATTTCAAGAAATGAACAATTTCTTTTTCTTTTGAATTTAACTTGAATACACTGATCAATGTACTGTATTTTAAACTGTTCTAGCAGGTAATCTCATTTTCTTTGGACAGTTAATAGTTACTTGAAGTTATCTTTTAATTTTCCAGTAAAGAACTTAAATCCTTTCTTTTCTGTTTTATTTTTGCAGGAATCTTATTATTTTGGATGATGCTTTTCATATAAGGTGGCAGGGATCTTGTTTTACATTCAGGAACATGAATGGAAGAGCAAACAGTCCATACATTCTATGAAATTTATGTCTACCAGGATTAGACTAAAATTTACTCAATCTTGATGAAAAGTTATTTCCGTGTGACCTATAGGTCGCGGGTTCGAGCCGTGAAATTAGCCACTAATATTTGTATTAGGGTAGACTGCCTACACCAGCCTACATCACACCCCTTAGGTGCGGCCCTTTCCCAAACCCTACGTGAATGCGGGATGGATCGTGCACTGGACTGCCCTTTTAATCTTGATCAAAAGCCAAAAAGTTTGGTTCTGAAAAATAGATGACTGTAGCTTTTTTATATGAATTACATGGCTGTTGGAGTTGTAACATTCAGTAAAATGACTTTTCACTCTTTTTCTCTATTTTGCCCATATTTGTTTTTACAAACTCCCTTTGGCGCTGCAATTGACCCAGGCACATAAGATTGTTCCAGTAAGGACTTGCACGTTTCAAGTCTTGCTACATTTCATTGTACTACTTAACTAATCAAACAAGAACTAACAATCAAACACAAATAAACGTTGAAGAGGCAAATGTGATTTCCCCACGCAGAGCACAATGTTTTCACAGCCTGTAAGAAAGCCTGGTTTCACAATATAGTTACTGGTAAAGAAAATCATAGGGTAAAAGCAAGAATGCTCAGCAGTTTTCTTTTTTCTTTATAACCGTGGTGTCAAGTCAGCTTTCGCACCTTGACTATCTCATCAGATACCTACTACTACAAGCACCGAGCAACTCTCTCTCTTTCTTTCTTTATAATGGTGGTGTCAGGTTAGCTTTCACACCTTGACTATCTCATCAGATAACTACTACTACAAGCACCGAGTAACTCTCTCTCTCTCTCTCATGAAAAGAAATCACCTAACATTTTTTGCCTCAAGAGATATTTGACTATTGATACGTGATTCAACAATTTTCCATAATGGACTATCAAGTCCAAAAGTTTTGCCTTAGATATGCCAAACGAGAGAAAAAGTTAACAAAACAATCTGAACAAACTAGACTCCAGAGTGAACTAAGTGCAATAAAATGGAAGAACAAGATACTACTGACCCTTCATGTTCGTTTCAACACTACATCATTTCAAGAAAGGATAGCCTGGTGCAAGTTTCCGCTATGCAGGGTACGGGCGATGGCCAGACCATATTGGGTCTTACTGCCTTACCTTGCATTATGCAAGAGGCTGTTTCTGCGGCCTGAACCGTGACCCTCTGGTCACATAGCAGCAATTTTTATCACTGCGCCTAGGCTCCCCTTCATCAACTCACGAAACGATCAAAAAATTAAAGACCCTTCTCAAGCATTGCCCTAACCCTCATCGGAAGTCCATAAAGCCGAATGAATCCTGCAGCATCAGCTTGATTGTAGATATCCCCACTCTCAAACGATGAGATATCTTGTCTGTACAAGCTATGTGGACTTTGACGACCAGTCACTGAAACTGATCCTTTGTATAGTTTGAGAGTAACTGAACCCGTTGTAGTCTTTGTAATATTCTCCATGAAAGCATCCATTGACTCGCGAAGTGGATCAAACCACCTGCCGGCATACACTAACTCAGCATATTTGAGGGCAAGAGAATCTTTGACTTGGATTGTTTCGCGATCAAGTGTAAGAGACTCGAGTTCCTGCACAGCTGTGAAGAGGATAGTTCCCCCGGGAGTTTCATACACTCCACGGCTCTTCATTCCAACAAGCCGATTTTCAACCATGTCTATTCGTCCAATTCCATGTCTCCCGCCAATTTCATTTAGCTCAGAAAGAAGAGTTGCAGGAGACAGCTCCTTCCCATTTACTGAAACAGGAATCCCAGCGACTATCCCAATGTTTACATACCTTCACAGTTAGAAACAGTTTTAAAACTGAGGAAACAAAATGCATTAGATCTTACTACTGCAATAAATGAGGGGGAAAAAATTCTTACTCAGGTTGATCAGGTGCATCTTGAGGATCAATTGACATCATGTACATATCCTTCATTGGCTCATTTGCAGGGTCCTCCAGAATATCCCCCTTCAATACCATATCAAAATGAGTTTTACGGGTATAATCGGCTATTCACGTAGCCTTACTTCAATATTTTTTTTTACAAAACTTACCTGAATAGGGTCAATGGGCGATCAAGAATGCCCATGGCCTTGGTTGGTGGGCTCCATTGCACTTTGGAGGGGTGCCCGTCTTAGTTCCGCCCAAGTGGCAGAGCCTACGTCATAATATTTTCTTAATGCTTGATGTTTTAGTTTCTTATTTCCTTGTTTACTAAGGAAATCGCTAAAAACTATTAAGAGCAGAGATTCAACTTTTTCGTGATTCTTTTACTAATCATGACATTCCTATACACATCCCAATTCAGATTGATACCCCTTAATAGTACTCTGTTTTACATAGTAAATAACTATTTGCTCACAGGAAGATGAGCTTATTCGTTTGGTCAAAATTCTTAGTGAAAAGAAAACAGTTGATATTGATACAAAATTCCAAATTTAGACAAGCAGAAAAAGAAAACAGGAAATGGTATCTGATAAAAAAGGAAAGAAGTTCCGAAACTTCTCAACTAAGTCAAGGATAAAGAACAATCTGCATACTAAATGAGTATATCAGAAGCAACATAAGTCCAAAACAAGCTAATATTACCTCATGACTAAGGTGCCACAAGTTTCTGTCTCTGCTATAGATGGATTTCTTTGTCACGGGAACTGGTACGTTGTGCTTCTTAGCATATTCAATAGCATCCTCTCTTCCTGTAATTTCCCATTCCCTCCATGGGGCAACAACACTGAGCTCAGGATTCAGCGCAAAGAATGTCAGCTCAAAACGGACCTGTAATGATAAAGAAGCATAATTGTCCCCTGGGCTCAGACAAATAGGTTTTAGACGAAGCTGAAGAATAGTGATCTGATCAATTGACATAGTAAAGTTAAAAAGAAGGTCCAGGATAATACCTGATCATTTCCCTTCCCCGTGCATCCATGAGAAACAGCATCAGCTCCGACCTCTCGGGCAACATCAACCATTGCCTGCAATTATCAGCTAAATTTCAGAGTCCAAAACTAAGTTAAGGCAACAAGAGAACCGATGAATGATCGATAAAAAGCGGACATTCATTTATCAATTGCTATATATCTGCTTCATAAATGGAATATGTGTATGTCAGTTCAGTGGACCAGCATATGAACATGAAAAGTTTGGCCCCATAGATTATACCTAGTGAAGATACCGTGCTGGTACTTTACTAGCAGGTTCATCTTTCTGGAAATGTAAAAGCTTGACGTACAAAACACATCTAATATGGGGAATAAAAGAAACTAGTAGCAGACATCTAAAGATCACAAGCAGACCAGAAGAAATTTTCATAACCAAACATAAATCATGAACAAATGAAAACGAGTGCATCAGACTTCCTGCAAATGAAGTTTTATCATTTCTCATGACCTTCTTATGTACTTAAGAATTTCGGTTGCTGATTTTGTTCTTCCATGAGAAGCTAGTCAGTAAAAACTGGGAAATTCTTCAGCCTCTTTGCCACAGAGGTTAACAAATTGTTCATTTCGCTGCAGTTCAGGCAATTATATAAAGGAAAGACCAACCTGAACTGCTTTAACGGACAGTTTTCAAGAAAATGCTACTGCAAGAGGAGGATCTGAGCAACATAGCTCACAGGCAAAAAATCTATTGCAAGAGGATCTGGAAGACAGCCATAGCTTTCTATAACCTTCTGCCAAAAGTAATGTTTCCTCTCATACAGTCAGGTCGCATTCTAAGAGGTGAACCAACCTGAATCCAACCAAATCTTGGGAATTCTCCGCATTTAATATCCTTGAGAAGTTGCTTCAGAGGTTATAATAACAAGCTTAGTCCAATTATTGGAATGATTCGACCCTAGAATCACGGATCAAGACCCTAGAGCTAAGAGCTGTACATTGTTCTCTCACAAGCTCTATTTTCACAGAATGAGCAGTTGTACCTGTGATTTTGTCTAATTGATGTGACTGTCCCCTTTTTCTGTTCTTTTTTATGCTTGTGTTTTATGACAAACTACCACTTAAAAAATGGAACTATGTAGGAGAAAGTATCTGTCACAAGACAACTTAGACTATTAACTTGGGTTACTATACAAACTAATTATGATTCTAAGATTTTGGAACTTATCCGCATAACCTGCTTTATGAGAGCAAAAGTACTCCACTATCCTTGGTTGGGCGCCAATAAAATGCAGTACTGACCAGAGGCCAAAAATGAGGTTAAGACAGACATGAGTTATCACTAAACTTGTGTTAGACCTCTACTTAGGTGGCAAACAAACATGAACTTCTCCAACTGAATAGATTTTCTCTCTTTTCCTGGGAAGGTGGGAGAGTGGTTCACGGAAGGGAAAATGACAACAAAGGTACAATTTAGTATTTAAGATACGGAGTTCACCTTAGCAATAACAGGGCGGGCCATTGATGTCCCAAGCAAGTATTTCCTTTCATAGATAGCACCAGCTCGTAGACAAGGAAATATGTAATCTTTCACAAATTCTTCTTTCAAGTCCTTCACTACTAATTGACAAGCTCCACTAGCCTTGGCCTTCGCTTCCAGACCATCCAATTCCTTAATTCCCTGAGAAAGAATTAATTGATCTCAGACATGGGTTCTTATAAAAAATAAACTTGTCTGTTTGACTGTTCCATTTTTATGCACAATACTTCTATAATTTATGCTGAACAAGAACAAAAAGAACTAATAGGTGATTAGGGAGAAAAGACATACTTGACCAACATCTGCAGTGAAACAGACAACTTCACAGCCATAGTTCTCCCTACAAAACGTAAGGATATTAAGAAATAGACGAATGGACGAATACGGACCATGCGACAAAATTGTTCACATATCCAGGAAACTTATTTTTTTATTTCGATCTAATAACAACAACAACTACACCTCAATCCCAACTAAGTTGGGGCGGCGATATGAATCGTCACTTCTTTCTTTAAGCTCAACTCATATCATCATCATTACCAAAATAAAATAAAAGTGAATTATGGATGTTTTATTTAACAGACTGGATTACTTGGATACCGTCCCAATCAACTATCAACGTTATCTTCTTGTTTTTTTTTAATAAGGTCAAACATAGCAGTTATCTTGAAGCTGAATTCGAGTTACTTTCACTGCGTAAAGACCTTTTTCATACATCAGAAAAATAGTATGTGTTCTTATATTTTGACAAGCCTTTCCGCTTTATCTACATGTACATCAGATACAAGGTAAACTGTGATTCCGCCTTGTAAAGCTGACATACAAGATGAATTTCTAGAAACTTTTTCCAGAACTAACAGCATACTGCTAAAAGACGTAATTTAAGTGGTCAACCGACATTTGAGGTTAGAGTGTCATCAATCAAATATTCCAACAGTGAGGGTTACATACAACAGAAGAAACATAGCCTAGGTCAACGATGTTGTAAAAGAAAATAGAATAAAACAGAAAGGAGCTACCTCAGCCAAGGCACAATAACTGAAGTGTCCAAGCCACCACTATAAGCTAGAACCACTTTGTTCAATTTTTTGCGCAGAGGCTTTTCCCCAACCGCGTTGGAACTAGTCGTCTCTTTGTCATTGGTCAAGACCGCCTGGATAGCTGCAATATTCAAGTAAATTTTTCATCATTATGCTATACACTGAAAATCAGCTACCTGAAGAGGTGCACAATGAACTTTTTTATAGATTTACACATAAAATCTCATGACTAAATTTGACATCATACTCTGTGGTTTCTGCAAAATAGATCAACTTTCTATATCATTCAAAGGTGTCTAGCAATATCAAAAATTGTAGAAAGCAGGTGGAGGACATGACATGAGCACTTTTTAAATATGAAAAGAGAGTGTGCGTGTGTGTATATATAGTGGCCTCAATTTTGGCATTATGTAAAATGTCTTCCAAGAAAACCATCTTTCTTGATTATCCAATATTTGGTCGCTGAAAGTTTTGAAAATATTCTTTAAGAGGAAAAAAACAGCGTAAGTCCACTAAGGTAAGTAACTTTCCACTCAAATCCTAGTCGTTATTGTTGCTCCTACTAACATGTGTACATTTCTCTACTCCACTTATTATCAACGAACGCCATACCCACACAGCCATGCCCCCACCCTCAACCTCCATCACCACATTCCAACAACTTTAGACAGAAGCATTCAAGTGCTAATGTAGAACATAGACCAATGCGTTATTACCAAAGTTACATACACGAGTACCTGTTTTAGCAGGACATTCATGAATGGGAAAAGGCTTGTGCTTGGTTGATATGATATGATATGACATTTCATACAGAACTAAACTCTTTCCATAATCACAAAAACATGTGTATTCCTCTATAAAAGATTAGATTTTTCTCAACGAATAGTGTTTCTGAATAGCAGTAATTTAAGGTCCTTTTAGTTCCAACTCAAAACCCACTCTCAAAATATCATTGAGCCTCTTCAGAAACACAAAGCATTAAAATTTGTGCAAGAAATCCGACCATCTTACCCAAAACCTTAAGGCAATCATTTAACACAAAATATTACAAACGCTTGAGCTAACACAATAAAAAGAATCAAACTCGCATGTGAATGGACATGTTCCAGACCAATATAATCAATCAAAAAAAAACCAAATAAAAGCTAGTAAAACTACCATGAGTGGCACAAGGCGAAGCAAAGCTAGAACGGGTATGAGCAATTGCAAGACCATTAAATTCACTAGCTTTTACACCAAACTGCAATAACCGAGAATATTATAAATTAAAAAAAAACCATCAGTAAAAATTTCAGCTAAAAAACATTAAAAATAAATATAAAGGGTATCAATCAAGAAACCAACCTCTTGTAAAGAATCCAACTTTTTAGAGCAGCAAAGCCTGTCTTGAATCCGAGCTGAACCTGCATTTACAAAAGGGTAATTAAAAATAGCTTCAAAATCCAATCTTTATAAGGTTTAAAACCATTTCGTAATAACACAAACGCCCAAAAAGAAGTGAATACGAATACTTTTTATGGAGCCCCGAAAGAGAAGATTCACTGAAGAAATCGCTTGAGCTTGAGCCATCTCAGTAAAATCAGTTTACAAATTGATAAGCAGTAAACAGCAGAGGCAGAGAAAGACGCTGAAGAACAATGTAAGGGAAAAACAGCGAATAAGCAAAGAGTAGGTTTCGTTTAGGAGTGTTACACTTGGAAAAATACCCCTCAATATTAAATAATTTAATTTATTGATGTTAAATAATTTTTATTGGTTTTCTGTTAACAATAAAACCAAAAAAGAATATACAGAGACAAAATTTTCTAACTGTAAAGTAATGGTCCCTTTTTATTAAAGAAGAATAGTCCAGAATAAAAGAAAGGGGGGCCTATATGAAAATTTAATGTATTTGCAAAGTTGCACGTGTATAAGAGATGGGGTTTTAGGGTTTTAGTTTTTTTTTTTTAAAAAACTATTTATGAGGAGGGTTTTAGGCCTCATTTGTTTGCACTAATCTTAATCCCTAAATCCTAATTATTCTGATCGCAAATATTAAGTACATTTTAAGTCTTAATCTTGATTATGCAAATCCTAATCATTAAGTATATTTGTTTGTTTTATTTCACAACCACTTAGGGGGTCTAAATAGGTTTGAACGATTACGATCTATAATAAATATTTACTTTCATCAAGATGCTATCATCCACATTCACTACTTCCCATCATACTCAATGTCACGGGCCTAATTCTTGTCCGCCATAATCAGCTTGCGCGGCAGCCAGGCCTCACGCCCAACTTCAGCCTTCTCACAACACTTAGCCAAAATTACATCAACTTTGGACTTAGAATATTTTTAGGCAACCCATTTTCGCCTTGCCTTGGCGTCATTGCCTCATGCCTTGATGCCTTTGTAATGCCATAGTGTCACCTACAACCCGCATCTCATTGTCAAGCCCTTGCCAAGCTTCCTTGCCTCCCTTAAAGTCTTGACCATCACTTGCTCGTTTTCCCGTTTGTCTTGGTGCTAGCTCGTGCACCTTAGCTTGACAACACTCCTACTGTTCCATGACAACACTCTTGTTGTCAAATCAAGCTCAAATAGGCTGGCCCCTAACACTCACCCACCACTACAGATCACCATCCTAAACCAAACGCATCACCGCCATTGCTATCAACTACCACCATCCAACATCCGACCATTATCGACTAGCACCCCACCATTAACAACTACCACCGCCATCATCCTCAACCATAACCACCCACCCCATCTCAACTACCACCACCAATCATCCCCACCACTATCATCAACCATAACCGCCAATGTTCACCATAATAAACTACCATCACCACCTTCCTTAACCGTAACTACCACTACCAATCATCACTAACTACTACCCAAAACCACCACCATCAACCAAAATCACCTCTAACTGATGCCTCCAGACAATATCCACTATTATTTAGTGGTTATTAGCTACTTGTAGCTATCATTTACTATATTACTTTCTATAGCTATGTTTTCAGGTTTTTTTAGAGTGTATTCAATGTTTTTAAGCTAATGTATTCATGAATACAGTAGCATTTCTCGGCGTGAAACAAGGGATTACAGCTAGACAAATTATTGTATTCGACTGTATTCACGGCGTGAAATAGGGGATTACAGCTGGACAGATTATTGTATTCGACTGTTTTTACAATATGTATTTGTGAATACAGTAACGTAAATAGCGCAATTCATGATATAACTGAAACTCAATTATAACACACAAAATTTATATTTTCAGTCATAAAAAAGATTCTCAATCTAAAAATACCCCAAAAATATAGCAATCTTCAGAGAAATTATATAATACAGGTGAATACATAAATTATATGAATTAAAAAAAACACATGAGTACATTCATGGAATATAGCGAGACAGTGAATTCACTGAAATACATGGAATACAGCGAGATACATTGAAATACAATGGGAAAAAAGACAACGAATACAATGAAATACATAGAATACAGCGAGATACATTGAAATACAATGAAAAAAAAGGTAACAGACTCTTCAAGTTGCTCAACCCCAAACTCCGTCGTCTTTGTTCAAGAATAACTCTAATATCGTCTCGTCGATATCAGATTGCGAACCTCCATTGTCAGCCCCAATTTACGCTATGTCAGATTTCGACATAGATACGAAACATAAGACATTGATTTCTAAACACCCTCTTCCCAAACTTATAACTCACACCCTTCAAATCCCACCAAAACTCCACCCATTTTGCCCAAACTCGAAACTCCAACCACCACCGCGCCTCTTTTTAGGCCAGCCTCGAACTCGAAGCACGATGTTGTTGTTGGTGATATCGCGACTTACCTTCGGCTCACCGGAGTCTGTGGTCTCGATTTAACAATAAGGAAATCTTACTCGAAGTTCACATTGCTATCGAGTTGGCACTCGGGCACTTGAATTCTGAAATTGGTAATTCCTATGAAATAAAATTTGCACATATACACAGAAGATGGTAATCTAAGGCAATATTGTTTTGACTTTTTGATAGTAACCGTGTCATTCTTCTTGAGATGAAGGAGTATCATGGTTGTATTCATGAAGAAAGACTGGCGTTGAGAGAGAGAGGGGGTGGAGAAAAATCTGAAAGAATGAGAGAGAAAAATAATACAAAACATATTTTATGGCTTAAGGGTAGGAGGTAACCATAAATAGATATTTGGCTATAAAAATCAAAAGGCAGCTATGGAATATAATTTTTTAAAAGGATATTTATTTAAAATAAATAAGGTATCAACCTTTGCTAAAGGAGTTAAAATTCCTTATTAAAATAAAAAATAAAAAGGAGTGGGCTGACTTTTCTTATCTCAAATGGGCAGATTTAATAAATTTGGGCTTATGGCCCATTATATATGCAGATCTAATTTTTATTTTGGGCTCATAGCCAAAAATTAAAAATAACTTGCAATTCTGTTATTTTTTTAATAAATTTCAGATTTCGAAATTAGTCATATGGACTAATTTTCAGAATATAAATTTAGTATTTATATTATTTTATGAACTATAATCATTTTATTATCCCAATTGCTTAAAATATTAATTTATTTAACATTAAAATTTATTTGTTTATTTATTTAACATGCTTGAAATATTAATTTGTTTTTCATTAAATTTATTTTTTAATCTGTTTAACATGCTTGAAATGTTAATTTTTTTAACATTAAATTTATTTAAAATGCTTAAAATATTAATTTATTTAACATTAAATTTATTTGTTAATTTGTTTAACATGTTTGAAATGTTAATTTTTGTAATATTAAATTTATTTGTTAATTTATTTAACATGCTTGAAATGCTAGTTGTTTTAACAATACTTTTGTTAATTAGTTTAACACATGCTTTATGTTAATTTGTTGAGCGTGAAATCAAATATTAATTAGTTTAATATTAACATTACTTGTTAAATTGTTTAACATATATAGTATGTTAATTAATTTAACATTAAAAAGAAAAATTATGTGAATTTGTATAGTACGTAATAAATGTTAATTAGTTTGACATTAATTTAATTTACATGCTAATATAAGTTATTTGTTAACTTATGATCCGTATAGGATTATAAAATCGTGATAGATAATTATGTTATCTTAAACATGATTAAGACGCTTAGCTAGATAATTGAATGGGTTAATTTTTATAATATTTTAATTTTTGGATGATGATTGGGAACATACTGAACTGTAACGACCCGACTGGTCGTGTTGAGCATCTGCACTTCGCTCGGTAGTTTGAGGGCTCGAGTATCTCCGCATGATGTATTATGACTTGCGTAAATCGTTGGTTTTCAAGTTATCCGGAATCGATTTGGAAGAATGAACTTCAAGATTTAAGTTCTAAGTTGGAAGAATTGACCGAGTTTAACCTTTTAGCATTGGACCTCGGAATGTAGTTTCCTCGGTTATGTTAGCTCCGTTGGATGTTTTGGACTTAGGAGTGCATCCGGATTGTAATTTAGAGATTCGTAGTCGAATTAGTCTTGAAATGATGAAAAATAGATTTTTAGGAAGTTTGACCAGGAGTGAACTTTTGATATCGGGGTCGGATTCCGATTTTGGAAGTTGGAGTATGTCCGTAATGTCAAATGTGACTTGTGTGCAAAATTTGAGGTCAATTGGACGTGATTTGATAGGTTTCAGCATCGGTTGTAGAAGTTGAAGTTTCAAAGTTCATTGATTTTGACTTGAGGTGCGATTCGTCGTTTTGAGGTTGTTATGTATGATTTGAAGCCTCGAATAGGTTCGTTTTGTCATATAGAACTTGTCTGCAAAATTTGGCGTCATTGGAGTTGATTTGATATGGTTCAGACATTTGGTTGCGATTTATAGAAGTTCTTGAAGTTTACTTTAATCTTCATGTGTTTTGTTGTCAGATTCGTGCTTTAGAGGTTATTTTGATTATTTTATTGCGCGAGTGAGTTTGTGTTGTGTTTCAGTACCTGGGTGCATGGTTGGTTTGGAGCCTCGGGGGCTCGGGTGAGTTTCATATTGGTTTTGGAATAACTTTTCATGATTTTTGAGTGCTGGTACTGGTGTCATTGCATTTATGATGTTTTTGTCGCAAATACGACTATCATAATTGCAAAGCAGCCTCCCATTTGCGAAGCTGGACTATTGAGGCAGACTTTGCATTTCGAAGGTATTTCTCGCATTTGCGAGTGTAGGCTGTTCGCATTTGCAGTACTTTGGTCGCAAATGCGACCTCAGCAGGAAATCTTCTGGTTCGCTTTTGCGATGAGTTGTTCGCATTTGCGAACCCCATTTCGCAAGTTGAAGGGATAGGAGGCGATTTGGAAACCTAGCTTCGATGGGAGGCAATTTTGTGAAGGATTTCCATACCAAATCATTGGGTAAGTACCTCTAATCAATTCTCAATTATATTTCATGATTATACATAAGATTTAATATCAAATTTAAGAGAATCTAGGGTAAAATTTCGGGATTTTGTCAAAGTTTTGAAAAATGGAAATTTGGGATTTGAGAGTTGAATAGGACTCAGATTTGGAAACAAAATACTTATTTGGACTCGTGAGGCTATGGGTAGTCAAGACCTACCCTTGGACCCGGGTTCTGACCGAGCGGGCCCGGGGGTTGACTTTTTTGAAATTGTATAAAAATCACATCTTTATTAATTGAAATTATTTTCTCTTGAATTGTGTGATTTATT